ACACTGGTAGATAAAGCAGCTTTATGCCATGTTGAAAGATGTGAAAAAGACTGGACTACATTACCGCAACAGCTTCTGCCAGAGCACAAACAGATGTTCTCCAAACACACACTCAGACTGCACCCACACGGCCCCTCCCTGCGATTGTTTGCTACAGGGGCAAAGCTTTTACAAAAAGGGGCCAAGGTCAGGATTCTCCCTTGTGAGACCACCATCTCCATTAGCTGTCAGTACACTGGGGTCTCTCTTTCCCCCTGAATATATTCTACTTCTAGACTCCACTTCTACACTGGCACCACTGCTGAGAGAAGAAGAAAAATGAAATGAACAGCTCATGTGAACTCACCTCCACAGCGCAAGGTCACAGACTTGTAGTTGTGTGTTGACAAAAAGTCACAAACTTGTACTTTCCTCTATAGAATCTAAACATACAAAAATTAAGTTTTATCTACTGAGGTTTTCACATGTCTGTCTCTGAGATTTTAGCTGCCGTCCAAACGGAGGAGGAGAATAGAACATCAAATTCTAGCTTTTAAAGAATTTGGCTCTATGTTTCTTATTGTCAGCAAATCCCATGAAAAAAGACCAAATCATTGATCCTACTAACAAGTATTTTAGTCTGATGTTGAGCCTGATCTATTCTTCTGTGTCACAGAGCTCCAGTGTTGTCCAAAAAGACAACATCAATTAACCACATTGTTGAACTTCATTACCATGACAACCCTAATAATCCAACCAGAGACTGTTTTCTACGAAATGCATTTGCACACAAGTATCAAAAGTCTGCGGTTAAACACAGACTCCATGACTCATGCACTATTTACACATGTTTGAGTAATGTTACTGAAATCCACATCACTGATCTGTTATAGATAATTACTAAGCCTTCTTTGAACATACGAAGACTTTTAACATGTGCATCTTCAGTGAAGAATGAATATGTGGAAGTGCCACAGACATGGAAGTCAGAAAGTATGACAAAGAAAATCTAGAGTAACATCAACCTTGTCCTTTACAGCAGCGTAAACGACTCTGAACAAACTCAACAACAAAGTCTCTTTCCACAAACAGAGCCCTGGTTACTCTGGAAAAGTGAGGACAATTTTCATTGGAAGTTAGTTCTACCAAAGGAACAGTCCTGATTAACACCGCCCACAGCTCAGCGGATTGTGTCATGTCTATTTTTTATAGAACAACACATCGTCTTAATTTTTCCCACAGAAGACAAAATATTAAATATTTGAGATCCTTCCATCATCAATCTCATAATTATGCTCTGATCAACATATCAGACAATAGTCTAAAGTATCTACACTGGAATATAAAGATACAGGGTAAATATACAGGTAGTTTACGTTTCTTCCTTTTTGTGTGATCTGGGTGAAATTTAAACTATCAAACATTTAACTTCACTTGAGATCCTTTGGATCAAATAGTAAAGCAGCAATCACAAAAGCAAATCTGGACTGTATAAAAAATATTTTAAAATCAAATTCATCCGCCCGTCCCAGAAAGCAGCAGTGTAGCTGAAGCGGGACCCAGGGGAGAGGCCCTAAACATGGCAGTTTTTCTTGACAAGCACAGCGGGGCCTGGGGAGGTGCTGGGCAGACACGAGAGCTTGCAGCAGTCTGCCGAGGCCTCCCGGGGACGCCGAATGGATAAATAGTTCACTTAGAACCTCTTGCTCTCTAAGAGGTCACAAAGGAAATATGGGATAGAAAGGGAAAGTGGAGAGGCTTTATCTCGCTCTCATAGGATTGCTGCCTGTTTGTATACTAGACTGCTCCATAAATACTGCAACATCTGCTTTATGACTGAAATGATACAGTCAGCTGTGCTTAATTCCTGATTTTTCTTTCAACTAAAGAGCAAACTTATGTTACTTTACATTGTGTTCCATCAGGACATATCAACATGTCATAAACCTTGAGCTACATCCTCAGAAACACAAAGGAACTTGATGAATCTAAAACTCAATCCTAACCTAATCTGCTTTCCTTCAGCGTCCTGGAGCTGATAGAAGTCCATCCTCTACATACCTTGTTACACAGTTGTTTTGTAGTAGTCCAGTAAATTAAATATAGATGGATATGTGATATCGGTGACCTGAGATATGGCTCTGAACACTGCCGACCGCTCCCCACATGCCTAGACAGCACGGGCTGTCACACAGTATCTTCACCTGACCTGAAGATTCATGGAAACAGATACTTCAGTCAAGGCTTCCAAATAAATGTACTTGTTGATCTAAGATAAATTACAGGTGTAAAGTGAAGCTGCAGACTGTGTGTCAGATTTCACACTGGAACATTTTATCTCCTGACACACTGATACAGGGAGCGATATACATTATTGGCCACACTATATGTCAGTGGTTGCGTGATTTGGGTTTTTTATTTTGGTATTTTCTCATATGTACGCCTATACTTTTATATCGTTTCTGTCAATCAAACCACAGCCACGCAGTCCTGATGTTGAAGATTAAGAATCTTTGACAGTTAAAACTCTTAATCAATAATAAGACGCGTCTTAACTTTGATTTATGACAAAGTTAAAAACAAATATTTGATTTGAAGGAAATACATTTGGCTGATAATACTTTTGTGCTTGTATAATTATTAAAATAATAATTAAAATAAATAAGCCCTTTACGTCCACATGTATCAAGAAGGTGTTGAATGACAAATCCAATCTACAGTAATGGACATGGCCCTCCAGACAAACAGTGCCCTCCTGAGTTGGAAAGTGATCACTGCTTTTACTCACTCATCTAGACATTTGTATTCTTTGTAATGAAAAGTAAAAATCAGCAAATCTGGGATTCTACACCTTTACTAATATGGACAAGTGATTTTTTTTTTTTGTATAAAGCTGAACCAATTTTCAACCAAAATACATTTTCACTGTTTTGTACCCATTAATATAAAAACAGGAGCAATTCCAGTCCAATGAAAAAATAATTATTTTAGGCTGCAGAGTTTGCTCAGTCAGCTCAATTAAAACTAAAATGATTTACTAAAATGATTTTCTATGGTGTATTAGACGGTCTGCTGTAGGCTCTGGCAAGTGAAAGTAAAAGACGACTAAACGAAGCAACAGCATGTGGTATTATTTTCACCTTGTAAGTTTCTGTGTGTGTGTGTGTGTGTGTGTGTGTGTGTGTGTGTGTGTGTGTGTGTGTGTACCATCAGAGGCAGTTCTGAGGACTTTGACAGGTGTTAATATGTTAGATGTTTTGTCACCATGACAGCATCACAACTGTGCAAGATACAGTCATGAAACGTCAAAGGTGTGTAACTGACATCAAAATGAAGGCAGAGTTTGACGAAGAGTGTGGTCCAAACCATGACTGCTGAGTGCTCATGTTATAAAGTAGTAATAACTTCTGCATACCCGTGTAATTATGTAGTAATAACTATCAAGTACTCATGGGTCAACATGTTGAAGGCTGCTGTGATCTCATCACAAGATGGTCTCTAGTTAGCTTTTGTGTCTGTTGCTCCCCGGGACAACTGTCGAAACTAAACGTCATCAGCTAGCAATTAGGAATGACAAAATCAGGGACAAAATGGAGTGAGCAGCAGTCTGTTTACTGTATTTGCTTTGCGGCTTTTGTCTAGGGCTTTCATCACACGGCAATACAGAGAGCAAACCTGAGCGGCAGATGTTGGCTAAATCCAACCGTTCAAACACGCTTGTCTCCCTATTCATCTAAAATCAGGACTTGAGCTGCTCCTTTACTGAAGCTGTGTGGCTGCAGCAGGAAATCAGTGATTGTTTTTCTATTATATTACACACGCATGTGAACACTGGAGACAGGGGAGAAGCCTTTGTGTTTACACAGAGGAGCAATATGTTGTCAATCAGCAATCATAGAAAGGCATTCTTAATCCTTGTGCCTCACTGTACAACAGGCTTTTCCATTTAATTACACAGAAAAGTCTGGAGCACCCAGCACATGTCACAGGTAGATTCATTTGTCTCATACTGTCAAAACACAATGAGGCTCAGAGCAGTGCTGCTCATGTCAAATGAACATAACACTTACTTGTTTAGTGCAATAACTACAAATAAGTTAAATTACTTGACCTTTTCATACAATTGATTCATCATTTACACTAAGAAGGCCAGTCTATTGGGTACACTTCTGCAGTCTAAAACAAAAGCTTTGCAATAAAAATTCACCTCTATGGTCTTGTGCACCTCAGAGCAGCATTTCTTCAAGGACCTCTCTGTATTTCCTTCATCCTCCATTCAATTCTGACCAGTCTCCCTGTCCCTGCTGCTGACAGGTTCCTCATGTCTTTCAGGCAGTCGCTGCTTTCCCTTAATACCTGTGGAGCATAAAAATAAACTACTGGAGACTTTAAGATGCTTTAGATGCACAATGTCCACAGCAAACATTAAGTCTGTTTTTATTTTGGTAAAAGTTAACATATTATTCCTGTGAGTGGAATAGAAATAGAGCCCTTCTTAAATCTGTCTGCACATTGTGACTGCCTTACCACACACTGACGATGATAACAAAAGCAGACATGATGATCACTGTGATGAACTCACATACATCTATACAATTTCATTTAAATACCTCAATAAAATGAAAAGAAATCAGCTGCAATAGATGATTAAAAAATAATAATTAAATACATGATATTATTTTCAATATAAAAATATGTATGAATTGGTATTTTGGTCACAGTCAGTGTTTAGTACTGTATGGCCGCCTTCAGTGCAGGAAACTAGGCATGTATTTCAGTGAACAGATGTGTGAGTGGGTAGCAGAGACACATTCAATGGACTACAACACTATTTACCACAGGGGTTCAGGACTGGGAGTGTTATTACGACTGGATCCTTCCAGACAGTTCCACATTTTCTGTGACCACACATAAGTGCTCTGGTTTAATCCTATTACATGTCAAGCACAAAGGGAGATAAGAGGTTTACGTTGGGGTTCCTTACAGACCGAGTCTCTCTCTTTCTGTTTCTCCCTCGAGACACCAGCAGAGCTTCACATTTTTCATACTGGTGCTGACACCGGTTATTAGACCTGCCACAGCATCTGTTGTGTTGTGTTGTGTTGAAAATAAAGACATATTGATAATAGGATTGCCTGGGAGGACTGAGGAGACACTGATGATGAAGGAGGATCAGGTGAATGAAACAATCCGGATATGGGTGAGTCAACAATTTGCTTTCACTGTAATACAATTTAGCTGAGACTGATCATTCTCATGATCCTCTATCATGATGATTCAGTGAGGTAGGACCCTGTGTAGCGTGTGCTTTTAATAAATCACTCAAATAACATACCTACTTCGACTGACTGACATTAACGGGAACCAGAACTGGCCTGCTCTGTGTCTCATGCCTTCCTCTTCTCTCACTACGGAGACCTATCAAAACAAAAAAGAAAATATGGCAATAATAAACAGGTGCTTTGCCGGTAATAATAATAATAATAATAATCATAATAATAATAATCATAATAATAATAATCACTTGCTTCCCGATTAGTAATAAAAATGATAGATGTTCCAATAACATTTTCTCTTTCTGGGTCTTTAAATTACAGTGTTTATAAGACAGACAATATGAACATAATTTGATAACCCTCAATCTTGTATTTAGAGAGAAACTCCAGAAGAAGATCTGAAGCCAGAGGACTACCAGCAGTTCAAGAATTTGGGATCTGCATGTCTCACTCGGGGTGATAACGTGCAACTACTGAAATTCGTTCAGGATGAGAAAAACCAGGTAGTTCTCCTCCTGCACCAAAACAACTGACAGAGGAACATCTGCTCAGCAGTAGACACACCTCACAGATATGAAGTGACAGTAGATCGACAGTGTTAATCTGTCATACAGGACTAACAGCACATACAAGGCCACACTGCAGCCTCCTGAGCACCAGCAGCCACCCAGCTATGCTAAACATTTAACATGCACATCACTACTCTGTGCCTGCTGGCCTCTTGACCTGGAGGTGTGGGGAGGAAACAAGCAGATATTCAGTCAGATTTCTCGCTCCACTGCTAACCCTCTCCAATACGGCATTCCTCTAAGTGCCCTTGGTTGTCCTATCTCTCCACGCTTCATGCAGTTTTGTGTAGTGTACTTTTAGAAGCATCTTACTCCTTCCTCTTTCTGGGGCTAAACAGTCCCGAGGGGTTTAAGATGATTGATTATCAAATGAGAAATCCCTGGCTTTCAACATGGACGTAGAGAGTAAACTTAGACATGGAGGGAGATATAGTCAGTACTGAGGCTGGGGCTGCATTCCTACAATTTATTAAATTCTGTTGAAAAGATAAAGAATGGCAGCCATTTATGCATCAGAAGGGTGACAGGCAAAAATATATTTCTGCAATTAACATTATTGCAAAAGCCAATAAAAATGGCAGTCATGTCCATGATGTACTTAGAATATGACAAACTTTTAGAGTTCAATATGGCATTGGAGTGTCTTTGACATTGATTAAGAAATGTTTTTTTTTTTTCAGGTCCATAATTTAATTTAAGATAATTTCCAACACGTCTCCTAAAGATAATGTAATTTAGTGATTTGTAGAGTTTAATGTAGTAATGTGTAGAGTACAGACTGGGCCTGCTCTATATGAAAAGTGTCCTGAGGTAATGTCTGTTATAGTTTGGCTCTATATAAATAAAACTGACTTGACTAATGAAAGGGAAAATAGAGACAGTGCTCAATTGGTACACTTCCAATTACGAGGATGTATACAATTCAACATAGATGAGTTTCCAATAATGAATCTGGAATTAATTAAGATTTAATTTGGTTTATATCCAGCTTTTATTTCTGGGACATTTGTATTCTCTCTCTAATTTGTTCCAAATTACATAATTCTTTCTTGGCAATTTCTGGGGAATTATTAGGAAATTAAAGTGTTACCCATGATTACACCAGCAGCCTGACCATGCAGACATTAGAGTGGCCTGGTAACTTGTCATGGCCAGAGCCATCTAAGATCTTCTACTTTCATCTACCAAGGGCTGCCTCTTAGACACAGTAGCAAACATCCTGATGAAGCGTCTTGTGTTTAGGTCCATTCAGTGGAGGCATTAAGATTTCTGGCTTTGAAAAGCTCTGTGGCTAAGCTACTTGGAGATATGCAAACTTATTTTCCTACCATAATCATGCTTTTTTAAATCAGTCCATGAAATCACACTTTATGCCACAATGGTACGTATCGGATGTAAAGCAAGTGTGAAACTGGAGTTGCTGTTGCATGCACCTTTTTCTGCAGTTACATATGCAAATGTAAAGGAAGGGCGCAGTGAATCTATAGCAACAGGGTCTCTGTTTTTCTGGTTACTGATGAAGTATGTTTGCTTTCTCTTGCTCTTAGGGAATTGTGAAGTCTATGGGTTGCGTTCTCATGGCACCTCTTGTAAACGAAGTAGTTAAAAAAGGGACGAGTCTCGATCCATGCCAGGCTGCCATCACACATCTCACCAGCGTAGGTGCAAACAATTCATTTATATAATGAGGCGTGCTTCCTATACATTACATTAAATGTGTGTTTTTGTTTTTAGACTTGCAGGCCAGATGAACTCCTGCATAGTTTGCTTGAACTAATTGAGGACATTGATCCGGCTGCCATTTCTGAGACCGTCATAGCCCTCGTCCCACATCTTAAAACAGGTTACACAGCTCTCTGTGCGATGAATTATGATGTCATATTATAATACATGCATAATAGTAATAATAATAATAATATTTTTATAAACAATTATAGATGTGTAGCACTTTTGGATTTAGTCAAGGTCATTTTACTGGCGATAAAGAATGCTATTTATGTTGTTATGGTATTTGGCTCCCCCTGCTGTACATTAATGTTAACTAACAACCACCTTGTGTGTTGAGAAGTGCTGCTTCGGATGGAGGGCAGAAAGGCAGCTCGTGTGGGCTTGGTTCTGGCTGCCCTGCAGAAGCAGTTGTTGCGGCTGCCTGTTCCTTACACCCAGCAGCAGGAGGAGGCTGATGAGTACGGTCTGTGTTGCTGCTGCACCGCCCTGGCTGAATTCATAAAGTCTTTCGTGGAGGAAGTGAAGGGGAAAGACGGAAACTCTGTTACCACTGCTGAAGATGAGGAGCTGAGGACTGAGCTTCTCAAGTTGTACGCTTTATATATATGGTTATTTGGTTTAAGACAGATTAAACAGATGTTGATAATGGTAACGGCTTGTGTGTTTGAGAGATCAACAGGTTTTTTTTCTATTTTATTCATCTATTTTGTATTTTTTCTTTTCAAGATGTATCATTTTGGTAGAATACACACATATATTTTTATAATTATTCTACATTATTTTTAAGTTTATTTATACTTGAATTACTTCCTCAAAATTAGGATCTCAAAATTCTGTGTCTCTAGCTAAAAAAAAAGGTTTTTCTATTCTACTTTTATTAACTCTGTGAGACAGTAATTGGTTTTGGGTCTTTCAGTTGTTGACAATATATATTGAACATTAACAATCAGCTTAGCATTAGTTTACAATATTAGCATTGTAGGTAAAGCATTAATGACAAATGATCATTTTTTTTCCTTGCAGCTGCATGAGGAGTTTACGGGAGCCTTTGCTAGAGGCTGAACTAAACCGAAACAGGAAATCATCACTTTGGATCTTTGCAACAGAGATAATGGTAAGAGCAAGGTCTTCTCTTCTTTTTTTAAATCTTTAAAGAAGCAGCAATACAGTGGAGTAGTTTTTTCTGTTTTTTTAAGAGATCAATTTCACTATCCAATCGTACAGGTCACACTACCTGCAATCCAAGTGTCCCTGTCGGAGCTGCTGTTCTTCAGCTCTCTGAAGAAAAGCACTGTGATGGACAAAAGTCAGTCAAAGGAATCCAGAGCATGTCTGGCCTATCTGCTGTTTGTCCAGCTCATCACCATCGACAGCTTTCCAGCAGTGTTCAGGTGTGATGAGAAGACATACATTAGGTGATAGTTTTGATTGTAACTGTGCTGTACAAATGGTTTAAACTGCACTTTTTCCTGCTGTTCCAGTCCTGTATTTGTTCTTCAGTGCAACATGGAATACATCAATGAACTTCTCAGTAGGTATGCTGTTAGCACAACAAGAAGTGAATATGGTTCTTGTTTTAAAATGATCAGTTTCTCATAATTATCTGTCATCTTGCTTCTTTAACAGCAAAAAGGAATCACACTTGCTGAAAGGACTGGTAAGGGCACATTCATATACAGTTTTTCTTTCTAAAAGGTGAGATTAGATCAAGCTTGATCGTTGAAAACTAAGGACATTTTTCTTGGGAATAATTGTGTATTATCAATCAGGCACTGTATGGAAAGAGCTTGGAGAGCGTGCAGGACAACAGCCTTCCTGTGAGTCTACTGGAGCTGAAGAGCTTTTATAGTGTACCACAGGTAAGACGAGCGTGACATCGGCCTCATTTTTACAAATTTAAAAGCTGAATTAAGACTTTGACTGTCACATAACACAATGTGACCAGTTTCTTGCATACCATACCAGTCACGCGATCAACACATATACTTGAACCAAAGTCAAGAATTATATGAATACTTTTGACCAATCAGTGACTTTTGTTGTCCTGTCATTCACAGAAACTGCGGCAAGTACTGACTGACTGCCCAATGCAACATTTGGTGAGCATATCATTTATCCTTGATGAGAGGAATGTATTCTACATCTGTGATACTGTAAAAACATATACGTTTGTTGAATTGAAATTCTCTTTTGTGATCACTTCTTCCCCAGAGAGAATCAGGACTGCAGGTTTTCCAGCTCTTTATCAATAAATTAGATGCTGAGGCAAAGCACAAGTTTTTCAGGTGAGAACTGACATCACGGGAAAAAAGAAAATATTACTCAAATTCAAGCACGCCTTCGTGAACTTGTTACGTTACAGGGTTTCTGTGGACTAGTTAATGTAAATACAATGCACATTTTGCATATCATTTATAGCGCCTATTAAACTCACGTGAGCACTTTATCAAGAACACCTGTACAATCAACCAATCACATAGCAGCAGTGGAATTAATAAAATCATGCAGACTGAGGTCAGAGGAGAATGACCAGACTGGTGGGAGCAGACAGAAAGTCTACGGTAACTCAGATAATCACTCTTTACAACTGTGGTGAGCAGAAAAGCTTCTCACATGAAAAATATGTCGAACCTTGAGGCCGATAGGCCACAACAGCAGGAGACCACGTGCGCTCCTGTCACCAAGAACAGAAATCTAAGGCTGCAGTGGACGCAGGCTCAGCAAAACTGGACAGCTGAAGACTGGAAAACCAAAGCCTGATCCAACGGATCTGGATTTCTGCCGCGGCGCGGAGATGGTAGGGACAGAATCTGGCATCAACGGCATGAATCCATGGACCAAACCTGCCTTGTGTCAACACTCCAGGCTGGTGGTGGTGGTGTAATGGTGTGGGGAATGTTTTCTTGACCCCTTAATGCCAATCAATCATGGTTTGATTGTGTGCTTGTGCTACCCTTTATGACCACAGCTTACACATCTTGTAATGGCTACTTCCAGCATGATAATGTTCCATGTCACAAAGCAAAAGTCGTCAGACTAGTTTCATGAACATGCGTTCTTCAGAGGCCACGAAGAACTGATGCCGTTTTGAGAGCAAAGGGAGACCCTACACAGTATTAGTGTGGTGTTCCTAATAATGTGCTCAGTGAGTCTTTATACTGAATTTGTTCCTGCTTTAACCTACTGCTACTGTATTCCTCCCAATAATACTCTGAACTTTATCAACAACAATGTTTTCCTTTGTAGGTGCATGTTAAAAGTCAGCAACCATGCAGGAGTGGAGAGTTATATAGTAAAGAACATCAAGAATCAAGTGGAATTTTCCATGAAGGTGAGAGATGTGGGCTTTCTAGATTCACATTACTATTTTTAACCTCAGTGTTGATGCCTTAATCACTGTTTAATCTGATGATGTTATCTGAGGGTGTTTAATCTAATCTTCTCTAGCCTGGCAATGCCAATAAATGGTTCCTGGGAGAGGACTTTCTCTCATTGCTGGGACTGGTGCTGAGTTTGCCTCAAGGTGCTGAGACAGATCTGCTCAACAGTATGGACAGGTGACTGACATAAACAAGAGTTTAACATACTGACATTGCTCATTTTGTAATTTATGAGCCTACATTATGCATAATCCAGTAACTAAAGATAATGTATATTCTTCTACATGCCAAAACATACACACCACAATTTTAGAGAGGAGGCGATGCAGTGTGGAAGAAATCCCTTAGTGATGGTCTGTTTATTATAAAAGTTACAAATCTTTCAAATCCCACACAAAGGGGCTTGTATTTGGACAAATCACAAACCACATATATACACGAGATGCAACCTGGAAAACTGTAGCTACAATTAAAATCAAGGCTGCATTTAAATGTAAAAAAAGTCTGTGACATAATTAAGTGCAGATCTAATTAAGTCACAGACCCCTGCTCAAACCAATCTCAACTTTCTCGAAATGTGGCTTTCCTGCAGAGATCCAAAGACAAAGGTCTGTAAATGTGAGAACTGGGACACTTTATCCAGACTGAGCCATTAAGCAATGCCCTGTCTTTGTTTATCAAGGATAATGGAGAGTCTGAATCTTCTGCGCTATCTACTTATCAGAGACAAAGAACCGTGGAGCAATGTAAGTCAGTCTCATTTAACACTTTCACTGCTCTTCTGCCAGCCAGCCTGGTTAATGCAGAAAGCTGACGATATACTCCTCTTTCCCTCAGACGGATGTGTGGGAAGAGCTTGGCAGGATGAAAGACGAATACCTAAAAATGCTGCGTGTGTGTATCAGCATATCAAGACCGTACTATTCCGCTGAACTGAAGGCGCTGAGGGAGGATCAAAAGCTAAAAGCAAAAGGTTTTTCTGCTAATCAGACTGACAAAATGACAATTCTCAAATGTCTAATGGAACAATAGTATCACAGTTTTCATACCATGAACCATCTCTGTTGTCCTCCCCCAGAAGCCAGAGATGCTGCCAGATCCACCAGATTAGTCAAAAGCTTAACAGTGAAACATGAAAACGTGTCTGATATGTCTCCAGAAGTCCAGCACCAGGTATAGAAATTCTCTTTCCTATCAATTATCATTTTGGTTTTGGCCTCTGCAGACAAGCTGACTGCTCTCATGTGTCTCAGGTGTTGCAGAGTGCTTTGGTGACATTTGACCTGATGGAGAGTCTTATAGTCCGGATCGAGGAGATCACAGAGGAAAAGCTGAAGATCCAAAACTAAATCGAGAACGCTCATGCTCAAGTGTCACTTCCGACCACTGGGTTATTTTTCTAAACTCTATTTTATTTTATGATCGATAAAACATTTTTTTTTAAATGCATTCAATTGAATGTGAACCTTTCTATGCCAAAGTTATTGTAAGAAATGTAAAAACAGAACAAACTGTGCTGAAACACTTGTACTTTGTATTTATATGGTTATCAAATAAAACTTGTACTGGTTAGCATCAAATAAAACTACACAAGGGATTGAGAGAACATGCTGGATCACCTGCTGAACTTCATAGTATGTCTCTTAGCATCTCCCACACAGGACTGCTTTCAACGATGTGAGCCTGAGCCAGAGACATCCGGTCGTGAATAGTGACTGCATGGGGCTTACTGGTGGCCTGCAGACAAATGAGACTTGGCTTACTTCACAAGGGAACAACAGCATGTCTAATTTATTATTTAGTATTACCAAATGACTTTTGTGTACTGCCTTTACATTTACCTTGGCAATCGTTAACATTCCTTTGACTATCTCAGCATTGTTTCGTACAGGCAGAATCTTGAGATTGCTGCCCAAAAACCTGAAACAGAAAAACACTTCATCAGTTATTTGAAATATGACTGGACAGATGATACCAGAATCCTTATTACATTAGTGTCAGTCAAACAAAACAAGTGGGCAACACCCCCTGAATTTGTAGAAGTAATTTATCTACCTGCACTGAATCGCTGACAAAATTTCCAATTCCCTTTTTCCAATAAATGGCGCATATAGAAGTAGGAAGCTGTTGCGGTGTACTTGCACAAACTTCTTTATCCTCTCCATGAGTCCTGATTCCTCAAAACGCTCTGGGAGGTCTTGAGGGTCAACCAACAGAAATGCAGTTCCTGGTAAATAAGCAAGTAAGTTATAAATTATATTGAACAAAACACAGAATTACATTATTTATTTACAGAATATTTGTGGTCTGTGTTTTCAGGATCAGGTAAGGATCCAATAGCAGCTTAACAAAGCGAGTAGGAATGAGAGGTATGTTAATTGGTAAAACAAATGTAAAACATGTGTACTGGAAACTAGGGATGTGGTGTTTCAGTTTATGTGGTTATCAAACAGCAGGTTTACCTGACAAAGGAAAGATAAAGGCTCCGGACTCAACACTGTCTGAGAATCTGAGTCGGTGCTGTTGCGCGCTGAGCATCCTGTTAATGTCATGTTTCTGGTGAAAACAAATAAATACAGGTAATTAAATTAACTTAGCTTCTAAATTAGGTTAAAAGTAAAGCACGGTTATCTGCTGCTACTACCGTTTTGTTCTGGTTGTAACGCGTTAGCTAGACAACTAGCTAACCCATATTATTTAGGCTATTTATTTCACCATGTGGAACCGAACTGTTAAAAAGGTTTGACAATTCAAGAGTTAAACACCGACCTGGAGAGATGTGCTGACTATAACCGTTGTTTTCCAAGGAGGAGTCGTTTCCTTGTTTGTTGCCATTGCCGACTGGTCGATGAAAGATAAATATGTGGCGCAGCTCGAACCGAACTGACGGGGTTTGTTTGACCGTTGATGTCCTCGCGGTACACTCCCACGAGACAGACGCTCCGCTCCCTCTGTGTCCTGAGCACAGCACCAGCCACAGTTATGTCATGTTAAAAGACAGCCACCAGAGGTCGCTGCGGTTCTTCTAACATTAAATGTTTTTTTGTTTTTTTTGACAAAAAAATGTCAAAATCAGTGGTAAAGGTCTGAAATGCAACTTACATTTTTGCACAGATGTGTGTCATCGCTAATTAACAGCAGCTGTTGGTGTTTTTTTTGATGAGACAGTTCTTATTGAAATGTCCATTTTAGCTGTACCGACCTTTTAAACGGCAGACATTTTGACTTAACAGGACAGATGTTGGCATTAACATTAATCAAGGCTCCACTCAAATGAGTGAACACATTTTCAATTAAGATTATTGATTACACCTGTGCTTTTCCTGCTGAGTAAAAGAAAGTAAAAAAAAAAATCCATCTGTTAGAGGACAGCGAGGAACAATTCTTTTTTCAGAAACACAAACCTTTATTTTCAATATGACACTAAATGCAAGCTATTAGGCCAATATTATTTTTTCTTTAAGAAACTTCAGTCAATCATTTTATCAGAAGACTGTCATGAGAAAGACATGGTCTTTTGTTTTACTCTCATTCTTTTCTAGGGCTTTGGAAGCAACACCAATTAAACAGTCAAACATACAAAAATATCAGCATGCATAACAGCCCGTTCGTGTTAAGAAACAGTCCACTGAGAGCATGATGAGGAACGCCAATAAGCTGCTGCAAAGTCCAGACTTCTGCAGAGTCCAGAAAAAAGGACGCGTCATGAAAAGAGAGACAGAATATGATTATAAATTATAATAAATTAAGACAACGTTTATGTGAATATGTTCAAAGTTCAAAAGGAGGGTGTCAACTGTCCAGCAGGCTCTCCTCTGTGCAGTCAGTGATGTGTTTCCAGTTCCACAATGGTCCACTCCCCCTGTGGAGATGCAGCGTCTTCTGGGGAGAAGCTGGTCACAGTGATGCTTGTGGAGGAGTCCTCCATGGGTGAGATGAGCTCCGCCCAGCGTTTGAAGGTCTCCTTCTCAGGGGACAGGAAAGCCTGGGAGTCCAGGCAGTCACGCGATAGGGAAAGTGTCTGCTTGATAAGGTACTGGGCCAGGTTGAGCTCTTCAGGCACAGGATTTATGACACCCAGACTGGACTCGTGGTCTGAGAGGAGCTGTCTGAGCAGGCTCCAGTCCCGCTCTGCAAAGTAACGGCTTTTGTCATCGTCTCCTCTTTTCTTTTCTTCCTCTGCTTGCAGTTTAACATTCCTGTCCTTGTCCAAGCAGTGCTCAAAGGCTTCTCCCACATCCATCTCGTAAATGGGAGAGAGGGCTTTGGATGGTCGGCGGTCATGTTTGCAGGTTTGATCCAATCTGTCACAACCATTGTCCCCTAAAAACAATTGACAATACTGCAAAATGACAAACTGATCACTCCTCCACAGTTCTTTTTTCATCAATTCATTTCAGAGACTAGTCACTGCCTACTACAATAAAACAGTGATTACTGAAAGTTTACCCTTAATGCAACTGTGTCCTCTAAAATGTATTCCATAGTGAAGTCAGGTCAGGACAGCCACAGTGGGAAAGCAGCGGATTGGTCAGTGGTCACATTATGGTCAGTTAAATAGCCATACGATTACCAATATGAATTTAAAATTAATTAGTTCGTAACTCACCAACCACTTCAGATATGGATGTCAAGGGTGGACAGTTGCCTTAAAGGTAATGCACAGAGGAATGCTTTTCTGAATGCATCTCTTTATCCACCTGTTCAAACAAAGTAAGCCATGCATTGCCGGCACCAGTGAACTTTGCATTTGTCGTTAAGTAACAGTGATATGTTTTGAGATTTACGTGCAGGTCTTTGAACGGGCGGACCTAATGAACAGTACTGTACTGCTTTACTTAGTAGCACAAAAGATGGCACACCACCAAGTTTTATTTGACATTCTTTGTGTTTTCTATTTTTCAAAATGGCAAAGGATGAAGTAACTGATAGCTGTGTGGTGCTGAACACAAAATGATTTACATGTTTGCATTGGGATAGACCCTCAGTAATGGTGCAGCAGGATTTCTTTTTCTGAGTATGATAGTGAAAAAAGAGAGACATGGCAGAGCCATAACAGCTGCTCTAGAGACACATCACATACTGTACATAGGAGGCTACTGACACTACACAAAGCCTACTGAACAAAAGCTTATAGACAACAAAACATAGTTCTCTTAAAAAGTGGACATCTATGTATCTAGACACAAGTCTACTGGGTATGACAAAGGGTAATGGGACGATGGGGAAAAAAAAAAACATACACAAAAATAATGGATGGCATAGCAGAATGACAAATTAACTTTCATAGTAGCATGCATGTGTGCAGTGCAAAAATCAAAAAAAAACCCAAGAACTCAGGAAGAGGTACATTCTCAAATAGAAAAAGAAAAACAGCAAGGAGATGCAAGGGAAAAGTTTCCAAGTATAATACACTTTTTTGAGAAGCAGTGGCAGTTAAGTGTAGTCTACCTTATACAAACATTTTGTATTTGACCTTAATGTCAGGTAGTCACTTTCCAGAAATTTGAAAAAAATTGTAACTTGGTTGAAATTTACCTTAACACAATTTTTTAAAAAGGTGCTACATATAGCATTTTAATATAAACAAATCTTTTAAAATGAAGTGTGAGACGTTGATATAATTACTGTCAACAAAAAGACCATCACTGAGAAGCCGGGCAGCGTCCAGTGATGATACACTGCATTTAACGTTGTGAACCAGAAGGTCAAGATTTGTTTGTGCTTCATGGCACAAAAAAGATTGTGAAGCCAGAAGTTTGTGTTTCTCAAAAATGGCAAAGGTGTAGTGAATGAAAAGCCAAACACATTTATCCTTTACAATAAAGCAAAAGAAAAAAGTAACAAGAGCAAGAAAGAAGACACACACTGTCATAGCATCCTCTGAGAAAAGCACTAGGATTTCTGGGGAAATATATTCTAAATTTTAAGAAACACAAGCTTCAATCACATGTCACATCAGTGACATGACATAAGATTCTCTCAACAACGGTCTAACTGTAATAGTAATTACACCAACAAATCACTGTTAATTTGGCAATGATACGTTGATGTTGAAATGTTATATATAGTACCTTTAACTATGTCAAATTATCTATGGCTTAAAAAGGCCAGACTGTTCCACTGCATAAAAGAAATGACAAAAATAATCAGAAAATATTATTATTCTTATGTACATAAAAGTGCATTGGTGTAACTATGTCACATGCCTTGTCACAAGGCAGATTCTTTTGGACAAATACAATTCTATGATCAGTCTTAGTGAAATGTACACTGTTCCCCCCCCTTTTTTTTTTTTGTTGTTGCGTAAACTGAGTTACCGAGGCCTAAATGCCTCCAACTAAAGGTAGTTCAGTTGTTTAAAATGTACAGTTTAGATTAATTGTTTTGATGAGGCCAATCTCCATCTTTGAAAAGGATATTGACGTTGCAAATTCAAATTTACAACAGCTACACAATCCATGGGTGGAGATGAGAGCAAGCTTTTAGCTATGAAAATATGATGACCACCGATTTCATTTGAATTTGAACTTGTATTTATAACTAGTTACTAAACTAGTACACTCAATAATATCCTTTTTCTGAAGGAGGGGATGGGTATATGTTGGGCATAGGTAAGGTCTAGGAATCAGAGCAGAGGAGAATGAATCTTGCAGGGATAAACTATACCTTCACTAGGGGAGATAAGATGGGTTTGGATTTGGGGTCTAGGAAGGATCCGTAGATCATACATTACCTGCTGGAGATTGTGCAGCATGTACAGGAGAGTCCCCTGTCAACTGAGGCTCATTTAAGTCTAGATGTAAATCAGCTTTCTTGCTTTCTGAGGCATTGGTGTGATTTTTGCGCAGCCCTCCGTTGTATTGTTCGGCGTGCCGCAGATCCAGGTGGCATGGGCGCTCCTGGGGAGGGAGGTCTCTGGTGTCAGTGTCCACGGTAGGGACGCTGGACTTCATTCCATCCCCCTGAATGTGATTACTCTCCTCTTGCACAGGCTCCTGGATCTCTGTAAGGAATACGGAGGATTTTTCTTCATGTTCCTCGTCGTGTTTTTTGTGCTTCATACCTGCATTTTCAAGATGGCACGGCAGGTGGTTCTGCTGATCACTGGAAGGGGCACAATTAGATTGAAGAGCTGCAGAGTCGGACTCGAAAACATCACAGGGAGTCACAGTGTCGTCGGGATGTTGAGGTGGAGTTTGCACACCGCCCTCTTCTGAGCCCAACTCCTCACACTCGTCAACAGAGAGTAACACTGACCGACGGAAATTAGATGTCTGCTGGTAGTCAGGCTGGTCGTTTTCCTGATCCACGCCTTCGTCGTCAAACGCTAGGTTGACAATCCCCTGAAAGTGTGGTGAGGGCTCAGTCGGTGGCACTGGAGCCTGGCCTGGAATCACCTCAACTTCCGACCTCTCATCTTCCGTCTCCTCTTCGTTGTCGTCCTCCTCTTCCTCCTCAGAGGAGAACAGCTGGTGGTCGGGGACACTTTTCACAGTCACAGTGGCCTCGACTTCTGAGTGATCCTCCTCTACATGAACCTCATCTCTTTGCAACCAGGAACGACGACGTCTTACTCCCTCCTCCTCGCTGGTAGTCTCTGCCTCTCTCCCACGCAGCCGCACCTCCACTCTCAATCCAGCCCCACCTTCATACATCTTCAACTCTTCTGGGGTGCTTGTGTCACTACTACTGCGACCCAAAAAGTCATGACAACGCATGGTGCCACACTTGGAAACACCCCGGTCGTTGGAGCAGTCATCATCTTGTGAGCCTCCTGCGTCGTAGTCCTCTGAGCGGGGCTTGATGTCATCGGAGGAAGTGGTGTGTGTGCTGCCAGTTTCAGATTCTGGGCTGACCTGATGGTGGATGCCGCTCCAGGAGTCCTCTAGTGGTGTGTTAGTGCTTCCCATGCTGCAGGGGGTGTCTATGGGGAGTTCAGCGTCTCTCTGGGAATTTGGCGAGCTGACCTCATGAACTTGCCCTGTGCTGATGTGAGCAGGGATGACACCGCTTGGAGACTGTTTCACTTTACTCCCCTCAGTCTGTTTGCAAGTGTTTGCATTAGCAGATTTAACATTAGGGACATTGTTAGCTGCTGGTGTAACACTGGGCTCCTCTCCTCCACCATTAGTGTTTCCGGACTGTGTTTCAGTCGTCTGGAGACTCTGCTTAGGGCTCGAGTCTAGTTGAAGGCTGAGTGTATCCCCCCCGCCCTGGCTTGTTGACTGTGTAATGTGTGCTGCAGGCTGGTCAGAGGGTGCTAGCTCTATACTATCTTTATGCACTGCAGCATGAACAGTGTTTTCAGTTTGAACGAGCTCAGTTTTACAGTCTGAATTTTTACTATTTGCTGCCTCTTTTCCTTTAGTTCCTGATTTCTTGGTGGTTGCAGAGGTTTTGGATATTCCTCCAGACTTTGGTGAAGCCTTCTCCGCAGATAATTCAGCAGTACTTTTTGACTTTGGTCCAGACTTGGCAGCTACAACTGAAGATTGTTTGGAGAGGGCAGAAGAGGCAGCTTTTGCTGGTTTAGCACCGGATTTAGTTGAGGCTCCAGTACCTGAAGCAGGTTTTGTGATCTTTTTAGGAGTTTCACTGCCTGCTTTGTGTGCCGTTGAGGATTTTAATCCTTCCTTTCCATCTTCTTTCCTGGGTGATGCTGGCTTTTTCATGGCGGATCCATGCTTGGACACTAAATCAAAGACAGAACAGAACATAACAGTAAGACTTTGCCAGAGTACACTGACATATATTTGACTAAACATTTGAACATCTCACCATGATGGTCTGGTGTGCCTCTTCCCTTGGTGTCTGTTTTTGCTGCTGTCACTGCAGTAGTCGCTTTCTCAGCTACACCGGTCTTGACCTTACCACTTTCTCTCACACTTGACTTATTGGTAGGACTGTGATTGGTGAAACAGACAGAGCCATAAACCAATAATGTGACCACAAATGTTTTTACCACAACATCCCAATTAATTAATACCTCTGGCTCACATCATCATAAAAATATTTATGAGGAGCTGTGGGGAAAGTAAATCATGAATTAATATTTAACACCAGCGGGGGGCAGCAAAGTTTTTTCTCCCATTTTGTCAAGGACAAGGCTCTGAGACATGAGCTGATTATCAATGCAAAGAATTTCAAGTTGTCACCTGTGTCCTTGTGAAGGATATTCCTCCCTGGTTTTTAACTAAATCTGACCTCAGGAACACAAAAACAGAGAGCACGTTTTTACAGTTTGAGATTTGCTAAGTGCTCAAGGTCGACAGATTTATCTGCCTTAGACACAATCATTGATAATATTACAGATTATGTTAAAAAAAATACATATATATGTACAAATGATACGTCTCGTCACTTAAATCTAGGTTAGAGAGGAGTTCAATGCTAAAATCTCCTACATTTTTTGGATGGATTATAGCAGGCTGGAGCACACAAATCCAGAAAAATAAAATTTGGATACCGAGATGTGTTTTATTAAGCTATCAGCTATTTTTTGGCTAACTCACATGGTTGCTTTCCAGGGAGTCTGGTAAAAATAATAATAATGAATAATAATGCGCTCCCAGGGCAGATGGAGTTTGGATGATGCTGATTGTGAAATGGATATTTTTAACATCTTTGAAGGACAGATAAGAGGCTTGTCAGAAAATGCTGCACAGCTGCTTTTATCCTCCTGTCAGCCACATGTGGCCTAAAAAAACACAACCAGGTGACAGTGTGCAGCAACATCCCTCTTCTTTTCCCTAGAATTACATTACCGAACACACACGTCTTATGTATGTTTGCTTGGTTTCCTATGACCTGAATACTTAAAGCTCCCTCTCATGGTGTTGCGTATCTCGGCGTTCAATTCTTATTGCAACGTTTAACTGATTTGCTTCTTTCAGTGTAGCTGACTGTGACAGATATGACAGACACCGATCAGCTCTTCTTTGGGACTTGGTTTCTCATGATCATTCTTTGGGTTACTCGATTATTTTTGTCCCTCTGACACATCTTCATTATTTTGTAAAGTGCGATTCAAATTCCAAGCCCTTTATCCTGTCTATGATTTCTTCTCAGCCACATTTTGTGATTTCTCCTGTCACTTCAACACAACCTGTTCCCCCTGCCCCCCCGGTACTTGTGGCTATGTAGGGTCGACATATGACGTAGACGGCAGACAGAGTGGTAAACTAAATTGAATTCATTTGTGTCAGAATGAAAAATATCTCAAGCAGGTTGATTATGTTCTGAGTTTTGTTAATTTGCAGATATATGATGGTCTCTCATAACCCTTAACAACCAAACTGCTCGCTGGATTGTTGATATGCTCGCCGAACCCGTGAAGACAATCGGCCAAAATTCAACTTGAGTTACAAATTTCTCAGGCGTTGAGCAGTAGAATGGCACTTAAGATGAATCCATCCAAAGCGAACGTCCAAGGGGAAGTTAACAAGCATATGGATTACAGCCTTTAAATGTTGAATCTAGCATTTCAATGAACACAAAAAAGCAAAAAAAAAAAAAAAAGCATGGGAGATCATTCTGATAAGCGCCATGATGGAGGGAGTAAAGCTCACCTGTTGGTTTTTGCCGCATCTGATTTCTGAGGTTTTGTCAGTGGGGATTTGGTCACTGCCTTCGCCTGGTGTTTGGGCTTTGCACCTAAAACACAGAACATGAACCACATGTACAGCTGATGTATACAGAGCAGACAGTTTTGAGAGAACAAAAAATTACAATACACATTACGGTACAAATTTTAGTATTATTTTTAAGCTCGGTCTCTTTACTCACTCGTGTAAATAATAAACAGCAAATCATCAGCTTCATTACAGCTTGGTCCAAGCATGCTGCATTCTTATTGGCTCCCTGACAGTGATGAGATTTACTCCTTCATTATCGAAATTTGGTATCGAATGATAAGGCATTTTTCGATCTTCGATATCATCAAACCATCTCGGTCACTTCATAAAAAAATATCAAAGTTCGATACCCAGTCCTAGTGTGGAGGGGTACCCACAATGCATTGTGTAGGAGCTCACATCAAAGACGTTTAGCAAGTCACTTTCAGGGTGGGGTACAGGGAAGCATGCTGCGCTTGTACCAGCAGGACAGACAGCTGAGGCCCACTTAAGCCGAGAACACTGCTATGAGATGGGATTACTCCACCTCCCCAAAACCAGCCTCACCACTGAAGTTCAAAGTGATCAGTCGAACCCCCCTGCGTGACAGCTGTACAGGGCTTTGACCTCTGCTGTTAGTTTGATGCCAGCAGGCTGCCGAGGACAGACACATGCGCTTTGTTTCCTGATGAATCAACATTCATACATGACACTGCCCTCGTCCCCCCAAAAAAATCCCTCTTGGCCACAGCACAACATTCATCATACTAATTAGAATGAGTCGTTTTAAGTGCGCTCACTAAGGCAAATTTCAATCAGTCATGTCGATATGACAATAAAGTTTTGAATCTTGAATCTAGTCTGCAGGTCCTTTCATATTTCAGCTACTCTATTATGTCTGGAGCTGCAGACACTTCATCTTGGCTGCAGTGATCTACTACGCTGTAATTGGTGTCAGTCACAGTGAGGAAATGTAACGAAGTCAATAAAGAGTGTAAACCTGGAATGGAGTGGGTGTCGTTGCGAGGGCTACTGGCACCATTCTCTGGTGAGGTGCTGCCTGATGTGGATGAAGCGATGGGCTGAGTTTGGGTGGTGCCAGCAGTGCCGTCAGCCTTTCCCGTCGAGCTCTTCTGAGCCTTCGTTGCCGCTGTTTGTCTTGTGGATGTGCAGCTCGGGGGGGAGGTTTTAGGCCTTGCACCTGGGTTTGGCTTCTTTTCTTGCTCTTTAGCCCCATGAGAGCTTCTGGGGCCATTGGCGCTGGCTACATCACGTCTGGCCCCTGCAGTTCCGGTGCCATTGACAACTGGTGTAGCAGCTGATGCCGTCTTTCCTTTTGCTGCTACACTCCGATCTCCTGGCTTCTTTACATTCTTTGCCTTTGATGTGTGACCATCTCCGGGTTTGTTAGCTGTCCCCAGTCCATCAGACTTCATGGCTGATGTAGCACTACGGGAGGAAGAAGTCGTGTATTCAGACGCCCTCTGGGTCCTTTGCACAGGAGGACTCTCAGGTGCAGATGAAGGGCATTTTACAGCCCTTTGCTGCAAGAAAAAAAGATATTAGTATACATATCACATATTAGTCACGTAACTTGATTAATCTGCTTGATTAATCAGTTTTTGCAAATTGAATAAAGAAATCTGAAACTCCTGATTACCTTTTACTGTCAGTGGAACAGTTACACCTTTGAATTTATCTCGCAGGTTTAAAGATTCAGCACAAAAAAGCCTAAAGAGAGGCAAAGCTCCTGTTCTGATTCCATCAAACCACTTCCTGAGAGATCTGTAGCAGCTCCACTGCTCTCAGCCACTCATGCCTCACATGTTGGCAATCCCTATCTGGATCACCTCAGCACAGGCTTATCTTAGCTATACATCTGTTTAGAGAGGCCCTGCTGTTCATTTCATACCGTATCTCTCTGCTGCAAGGGTGCGGCATTTATGACATATGGCATCTGCCGGCCATGACCTGTAATCACTGACAGGGATTACTCAAACTTACATTGATTTCTCTGAGCTAAAACACATTTGTAAGTTCACATCATAAGCTGAGTAAAAGTCAAAGTTCTGAATAACAAATAAAACTGAATATTGTTTCTTGTTTTTGGTCCAAAAACAAAACTTAAAAAAAAAAAAAGACCAAATTGTTGAATAATATTACCTGTGAGCTTGTGAATACCGGCTTTTTGCCAAGTCTTCTATTGTCCCCTTTATCAATAGCATCTGTAACAACAGGATAAAAGCAAGATAAAATCACCAATGCCTGTAAAAACCAGATTATTCATATCTGAGCATAACACGGATAAAAAAGGGCCGCACCAATTTTTTTTCAAGGCGCTGCTTAGCCTTCATTATCAGAGCGAGAGGAGCCATTCATTTCATTCACAAATTCCCGTTTCCACACCCTGTGTTTACTCTTTGACCATAAGGACACAGACATTAAATCAATGGACTGATAAGTCAGCCATGTCTGGTAAGCACTACTTCAAACAAAGCACAGCCATTTCTATACTTCATATATAAACAATTTCAGAACCTAATGATTTGTCTTATTTAAGCAAAAACAAACAGTAAAATTTACTCTGTTTTAAAAAGTGCATTTGTAATGTTTGCATGTGTGGATCCGATTACACTGGCAAGAAATGGACCAGCAATAGGCACACACTGATACCAGCTGAATAAATTATTCATGCAGTGCATTTCAACACATTACTCGCCCAACAGTGAGGAAGCAGCATATTATTTGTATTTATGGATGTTTATGATCATGTGCAGATCCACAAAGACATGAATCCAGCCTTTCACTTCCACCCATTAAAAACAAGCATGGCGCATTTACCATGTTAGCCCAAGACAGTTAAAAAGGTAGCTCAGCAATCAAGCAAAAATGTGTAAGTACAGCACTGACCAAGGAATAAATGGGTTGGAAGTGGCCGGCCAGCTGTTTAGAGAGAAGCCATTAAGTGTTAAATCAGCCAACGGCATATGTTCCTTGGGCTTTGGTTCACCTCTAATGATGCAGAGCTACGGCTTCAGCACTACGCTGGGTTAGGGAAGAAAAAAAAAAAAAAAAACTCATACATCCACACACAGACACACACTGCAGCGCGAATATCCTGAGTGTGACTGGAAAGAAAGAGCTTATAAATATCCTTCCTTACCTGCCAGTATCCTCTCTCTGTGTTTGGACGACAGAGTCTCCCATCCCTGCGTGTGGCGGACCGCGTAAAAGGTCTGAAGCAGGAAGGTCCACAGCCGACCACGTAGCGTACAAATCTCTTGTCTGAACGGCTGGTGCTAACACAGAGGAGAGAGAGGGAGAGGAGAAGAATGGAAAGGGGTGCGCTACAGCGCAGGCGAATCAGCAGCTGCTTGAAGGACCTTTCACCATGGCAACAAATTCCCCTCCCTCCTCCCTCCCCTCCTTTTCACTGTCCCCTCCCTCCCCCTCTGCCGCTGTTGCAGAATCCACTTGAGCTCCCTTGAGCGAAATCAGTGATGTCAGCGACTGATGCCCATACTCCTGTTTCCACGCCTGATTATAAAAACAGGGCTGGAAGGTAGGGAGGAGCTATCTACCTCCTCCACCGCACGAACCGCACACACCCCTCACCAGCAGATACACAGCCAGATTAGTGAAGGCCGCTGGCACACGTCACAGTCTCCCTCAGCCTAATCCATTCTGCCATACTGTACAGTATTTACAGAGGTTATGCGCTTTAACGCGTGCAGCCAGGTCACTTTCCTCTGGAAGGCAGCTCACAGGCTTAACATGCCTTGATTTTTTAGTCTGTATTATATCAACTGTTTTAAAAAATACTGACCAAGTGTATTGCAGTTTTGTTACTGTCAACAAATCTCATGAAAACACCAAAACCAACAGTCCCTGTCTGCTCCTCCATACTTTGTAATCATCCCAGCCTAGATGTTCCCATTTGTTGCTACCAAGGATAAAATATCTTTTAAACAATTTTTTAAGGCTAAATAATTTCTTAAAAACTGCAGGGCACTGTATGTTTTTTCAAAAATTACTCAAACAGGAGCTAATCGTTACTGCGGACTTCTTTCTGATGCAGATTTTGGTGCTAGTGAGTATTTACAGCAAGGATAAACTAAAAATACATTACAGTGCCTATGTTCATCATAATGAAGTTACATGTCACTCAGTGCAGCGGCATGATTCACTGATGTGTTTTCATTTTTTGTGTCAACAAGCCAAGTGACTGTGGAGTTTGCTGTCTGCCACCCTTTATCCAGAATGAAGTAAATCACATGATGACAAAGCACATGAAAGCACATAATGATTGTAAGTAAAGATTTCTCAGTAACTAGTTCAGGCAAAGAGGTCATCTGACAGACAGAAGTTCAAAGCTGTATTCCCACCTGCAGTTTAGTCCANGGGCAAAGAGGTCATCTGACAGACAGCAAACATTTCAAGCAGAAGTTCAAAGCTGTATTCCCACCTGCAGTTTAGTCCAGCTGTATAGCACTGTACTTGGAAGTTTTATTTCTGTTTTCCAGTGGTTGTAAAATACTGTTAACGCTCCCAAATAAAAACCTGCATCTGAGCATTCATTGAAAACGAGACTTCATCTGTCTTAAATAACAACAGGAGGTTAGATAAACAACCATAACTCAATGTCCACTTTCTACCTTTCTCCAAAGCCTTCTACCGCATCTCATGACCTACTACAGCAAATGAGAGTTAGATGGTTGGCAGTTAGTTTCTCTGAGAATCGCATCTGCTGATGATTTAGACTAACTAACTCACCAAACTCCATCTGCTGAGGAAGACTCTGAAATGTGGTTGAAGGCTTAAAAAGTTTTCTTAGAGGCAGACCAAGAACCACCTACTGAGGCAGTCTTAGCGCCGTTGTTTGGTCAGTACCTTGGTATGACATACATTGTTGTTGCTAGCCTAAATGGGAAATCTTCCTTTTAACAGCACTACACAGATGAGGTGTGAGCACAGCTTAATGGTCACAGTTTGATGTCTACTGAAGAGACAAAGGCCCTGTTCAGACCTGGCATTAATATCCATATCAAGTGATCCCTTCACCGGTGGACAGCTCTAAGTTCAGGTGTGAACGCACCCGAGACGCATTGAGATCCGATCACTCAGAACACATCTGGAGGCGGCCTGGACCACATGTGGCCACATTCTTTTAGCAGTGTGAACGCAAATGCATTCTGGGCCACATTGAAGGACCGCCGGCTCAACTGATGTCCTCTGCCACAGTCTCATCATGAACCGAAAATATTCTACTTTTTCAAATGGTTAAAACCTAATTTCATTTTAGAGCTGTGCGCAGTGCAGTGACTCGCTCAGCCCCTCCTCGCCTCTCTCTCTCAAACACGTTGACAATGGACCCGTCTGTCACAGTCGGATTTGCTAAAAACAACAACACGTGTGTTTATTTGTATATAGAGCAGGGAAGTGAGATCCGATCACAAGTGGTCACTGAAGACACATTTTAAAGTCAAGTGGGACCTGACGTGCTTAAAACTGTCCACATGTGAACGGATCACTTGAGATTCATGTTAATGCCAGGTCTGAACAGGGCCAAAGTCAAAAGGTTCAGTAATGGTCAGTAACCAGTAATTAATTTCACCTCCTCTTGTTTTTCTCTCCTCTGCTCCAGGAGAGAGTCCTCCTCCATGTCATCTCCACACAGATAGTTCACAGCAGCAAAAAGCTCACAGCAGTTGTCCACAGTCACCCCTTCCCTGATGGCTGAACACAGCTTCTTCAACAATGTGGGCTCCCGGGTAAACTCTTCCCTCTGTAACCGAATCAGACACTTTGAAAACCAGAGAAACTTGAGCTGAAGGAAAATGTTTTAGCGACGGCTACAGCAACTGCCTTACCCTGCGAAGGTCGTGGAAGGCCTGAGTTAGGGTGACTCTGGGAAGGTGCTGGACAATGACACGTAGGCTCTCCTCCTGTAACTCTGTTGCGAGACTCCTCACCTGTTGAGCCCACTTGACTTCTGGGAGACTGCCAAGCAACTGCTCAGTGCCACAGAGCATGGTTACTGCATTCTGCACAGTCTGAATGGAAACATCTATCAGCTAAAGAAACTCTCTAAATGAGAACACAACATAAAGTCAAATGAACACAATCCTTCATGAATCACACTGTTATTCCTGCCTGGGACCTGTTGGTCAGTGGAGGGATTCCCCAAATTGTGTAATAGTTCTTGGCCAGCTCTGGACCTCAGTGCTTGCCAAGAGAGACCAATAGTACATTTGTCTTGCTTCACTCACAGAATGAACGCCACCTCTTTTGCAGCGATGAAAGACAGACTCAAGACTCAATTATCAATTACAAGCCTATATCACTCCCCATCTGTCTGCATGCACATCATATTCCTAAATTAGCCCGTCTTTAATAACTGAGAATGTAATAAAGGTCATCTTTGATTAGATCATGTTTGAATTTCCTTCCTGTGGAAAAACACTGCAGAATGGGTTGATGATAATTGTGCAATTACGAGAGTACAGTGCGGCTGAAGACACTGGGAGGGGAAGAACTCACCATGGTTTGTGTTACAGCAGTTAGACAGACTCTGTGGAGCTCAGGGGACAAGAGGGAAAAGTTTCTCTCACACCAAGTCTTCACAAAATGTTCAGCAACCCACCTGAAAACACACATCATAGAGTAACAGGACCGTCCAGTTTCTGGACAATTTGACCATTTTTTACGATTCAGAGTCAGACAAAATCCTGGCAGCCTTTTCTATGCCTCTGCAGTTTAACCTTGAGAAGTCTCAGCCTCCGAGGCTCCACGCAGCGGTCAGCAGAGCTTTGCTTGAGGGGACAACAGAACGAGTGAGGATGAGAAGGTCAGTAACGCACCGCTGCACAAAGCAGCGGAGCTCAGTTCACCGTCACACCCGCGTGACTCATCAGACTCAGCAGAGACAACATGGCAACACCCCCCCCCCCACCACCTCAAATCAGAACCATCTCACAGGCTTGCTCACCACATCCTATCCCCCTGACCTACATTCACACACGTCTTTCCTGCTCACTGCAGTGAGCAAGAGCACAGAGAGCTTGCAGTACTATTGGCTACAAGAGAACTCAACATGATAAATTGTGTGTGCCCACAAATTAATTAAAAGGAATGTGATGAAAGGTGTGCAGCATACTTAACTATAAAGACATGTTCTCAGCATTTAGATTTCCAGTTAATTCTGATCCAAGTGAACAATCAAGCTTCTCAGTGCTATGCAATATACTAGTGTCTATGATCTGTCTTTTGCTACACAGCAATCTATGAAGACACCTTAACCTTGAAGAATGACATCTTCATTGAAAAGAATAACCCTAACCCTGCCTTCAGTAAATTCTTTTCTCTTCCTGAAGTGTATTTAATTTCAAATACTGATCACACTTTCTTCAAACGACCAGTATACTGAATCACATTAAAGCAATCTGCGTTATAACCCTAACCATTGGCCACTTCACACGAAAGTATGAACCCAGATGCTGGTTACCTAGCAACAAGATGCTGATGTAACTTGCAGTGGCAAGAGTGGCGAGGTTGGAATATGTTGCACCTTTTCTTTTTTCTGTCTAAATAACAGGTCATTTTTGAGGTAAAGCTAAACAAAAATTCAAATTCTAGGACCATTTATTGAAATGTTGAGAGGTTTCTAAATATTTATGTACTTAATAACTGTTGAGTTTTTATGCTCCATAACCTTTCCAGGATTTCCTGGGTCTTGTTGAAAGGCAGCCATATGTTGAAATACAAATTGCAGGCACTCACCTCTTACACAGCATGTGGAGGTTTTGAAGGCCTAAGGCGTGTGTGAGGGACAGGCACTCGAGAACTGTTTTCTGAACTCCATCAAGTGGCTGAAAATGTGGAGAGAAAAAAAAGAAAAAGAAGCAAAACAATGCATTTAAATTCACACAGTGATTTGAAAAGTGACATGCCAACTGGCATATGGTACTGTAAGATGGTAATGTAGAAGTAAAGTTTTAGAGGAATGAAACAACAGCATTATTGACACTGGGCATGCAGGCAAAGTACAAAATCAACAAGTGTAAAGCAAAAGGAATAACATGGGGATTTGTTGGTTTCTGGTGCAATATTGACTCTTTGGGCAAGATTTACAAAGACTTTTTTGTGCTGTTTTTTCATGAGCATGTGATGCTTTCTGTCCCAAACACGAGCCGGATTTGTCAAACAGACACAGAAGACAGGAGTCAGAGTTTCACATGGCATATGCTTTCAAGGGTGGAATCGCGATTATGTATTCCGCTGGATTTACAAAGGTCACACAGTTTTCAACGATGACTTTTGTGATGAAAAGTTTCTGTCTTTGAAGACCAGACTTAAACATAGTACATAATAAAAATGGGATTTACATGAGAAACGAGGAGGATTATAATGGGAGAAAAAAAAATCATGCAATAGATAAAGCCTTGTATATAACTAGAAATTACTATAACACCAATAGTTGAAGGTGGATTCATCAAACTTGAATGTGAACGTTACAGTCACCACAGGCTGCACCCAGTATGCGTCTCTGCGAGGCTAAGCTCAGGTTCAGTGCAGGGCCTGACTGTGTAATGAGCTACTGTCAAATAAATCAGGAGCTAAATACATGCAGAGAACGGCCGCAAACTCAATGAAACACATTTGCACAATGCCATTTTCTTAGCATTTGTATTTACACTTGTATTTGCATGAATCTTTGTATGTTTATCAAATCAAGCACTCCCTATTGACAAATGCATGAGACTTTGTTTCAAGCACACATTAACCAGTTTATACTTCACAAACTCAGCTGCAAGTACACAGAACACAAGTTCCAGCACAACGTCATGACCAAGTCTAATTTAATTTATGCTCAGGTTTAAGCAGGCACATTTTATTTATGAAAAAGCCTTATTTTGATTTAAAGATTTTTACATTTAAAGTGAGTTTTGTTTTTACATTTATAAAGTACAATTTGTGGGTGAAAGATGTTGCGTATCCATTTCCAATAGATTAAGTGTGAATACTGAAAACTTGTGCACCAAAAAAACAACAAAACAAAAGCCACACATGAAACCTCCTGGCACACACACAGTACAGTACATACTGAAAGCTAAAAAGCCTATGATATCTATCCATTAAGGCATTCACTAGATTTACTTCTGTAGCGCTGACCTTGGGGAAGAAGCGGCAGTAGTCGCGGGTCAGAACCATCTCCACTACATCTTTCAGCCCCTCCAAACCCAACATGTCTGCTGCCAGCACCACCTGACTGCGAGACACAAGACACCAAATGCAGGTCAGTTTGTTTTCTGGGCCTTTTTTCTAATTCTGGACACTCTGTTTATTCACACACACACACACACATACACACAGAGTACCTGGCACTGGCTCCAGCGGGCAGATCCACAATGCCCCCATACATGTACTGGAGCAAGATCTCCATCTCATCTGGCCCTAACCTGAAAGGGTTAATACAATCTGTTTACAACCCACATTTGACAGGTTAATGTACAGAATTGTTCCCAGTCACAACTTAATATTCTAAATGTGAGTCCAGGCAAACGGTGCAGGTGAATTTATCTATATTGTGTATTTGTATGTAAGAGGTGGAAACACTACTGAGATGTCTGTAAAAAAAAAAAATCCATATATTACGCAGCACTAAGTCCACGTGACTGCAGCCTGAGGGCCACTTCACAGATTTTCCTTCGCACGTCAACGCAGCCACTCTCCGTTCTGACAGCCTCGTCTTCCCCCGTTACCCTCAGATCAGTAAAAACTGAGGCGAGTGACACGTCTCTCCCCGGAGGAAAAAAAAAGGGCTTCGTTTGCCTCTGCCGCTCTGAAAGGAGACTGCGGGTGGTAGTGGGGGCGGTGGGTGGTGGTGGAGGCTCTTCGGCAGGCAGTGGATGAGTAGACATTTATGTGCCTCCTTGTTTAGTAGAAATCTGAGCAAACCTTTTGAGATTCCACTTGCAGTGCGTGCCTGTGTGTGTGTGTTTGAGTATGTGGCGTGGTACTGAGACTGAAACTTCATACTGTACGGCGCCACCTCTGTTGCAAGCGATGAATATTTAATGCAGTATATGCAGTAATTCAGCTGTACTGCTGTATTGTTGTAATGCAGAATTGTTAGACCAGGAATACTACTGATCCCTGTGACCTGCTGCTCTGTGATGCTGATGCACTGGTCTTACCCTTGCAGAGTGATGCACTGTCTGGAGCTCTCCATCCAACTCCCACTCAGCATGGCTCGGAAGTACTGAGACCGTGCACACAGGATTGCCCTAGAAACCCAATAAAGCAGGCAGTTGCATGTCAGATCCACCCACCGTTTTAATATTTCACATCATCTGGCGAGCCAGTGTGTACTTAAGTGGCTTTAAAGTGACAAGCGGGAGAAAAAAAATATATATATGTTTATGTTCTCTAGTCTCTGGAAAATGAGTTTTTATTCTCCATGGCCTGATAGTACTGTCGTTGATATGGAAATACAATACCACTATGGTGTTCAGAGCATTTAATAGGCTGTATTAAAGTCTGGTGATAATCTATTTTCTCTAATTGTCAATAAAACCAGCAGTGAAATGATGCTATTAACAATTCTATTGTTTGTGTATAAAGCCTGTTATCTTATTCCGCTTTGCCACAGACTCCCATTGTTTTCAAAAAACTATTAAAAGCATATCACTGACCCACATTGTTGCACTGGACGACATGTTCCTTCATTACTATGAACATCGCCACTGCTGTTTATTTTGACCCAATCCCACATACACTGTCCTGCTGCCACAAATATTCACTAAGTGTGAGTAGTATACATCCAAATGTGGATTAACAATAGTTCCCAATAAATAAACTGAAAACACTTCAAAACACTAACACACAAATTCAGAAAGACAACATTAAAAATAAAAATATGCCTTGATATTACTTTAACTGAATAAAAATAAATACATCTTCTATCTCATAATATTAATATTATATTAAATTCATTGCCTACTAGCCACAGTTGTAGCAACAACCTGCTACCAGCAAATTCTTCCCTTTGGAGCAAGACGAAAATCTTGTTCAGTTTTTTTTATCCGTCCTGGATTATGGTGACTTCCTGTACATGCATGCATCAGTTCCACTCCTGCGTAGGCTTGATCCCGTCTACTGTTCTATGTAGCATTGGCCGTGTCAGATCACAGATGCATCACTGTAATTTATATGCATTAACTGGAAAGACCGCACTGAAAATGTAGATGAAAATTCACAAGTACCTTTCCATCTTTAAAGCCATCTCGGTAAACTTCCTGTCTACCTCTGTAAAATGCTTTCTCTAACAGCTTTCAGCTCTATTCCACGGATCCTCAAGAAGGATTTATTTTATTTATTTATTTTATTTTTTTTTAAATGTCACCAGAGTCTGAATGTTGTAAAAAAAAAAAAAGCACGTCTGTCATGTCTGGAATAATTTACGAGACAAACTCAATTTGGAAACATATTCACACGCCATATTCAGAACATAATTCATGAAGAATGCTTGACATGGACCAGCTCTCTACTTTATGCCTCTTGTCAGGTCCTGTGTTATTGTGCTATATATTCTATATGTAAATGTTGTTTGGGTTTGTTTTTTTTTTTTTTGTGTGTGTGTGTCTACATTTACTCTACATTCTTTCTACCAGAGATTTATGGCCATGTTCTCTTCTGAAAAAGTGATAATGTATCTCCAGAGATTAAACTAGATGAACACAGTAAAGTGGAGGTGCGGTGCGTCGGGGTGGGGAGGCCCTGGTTCAGCCCTCTGGGTGAGAACTGCAGCAGCTAACACTGAGCTGTCATACAGATCACTGCTGCAGAGCAACCGAAAAATAGCCCAGCTTCTTCTCTCCGACGAGATTTCGCTGCCGGGCTGCTCCCCTGAGCACGAGCTTGGAGAAACCTGTCTCCATGGTAACCAGCTGCTGCTACTACTACCTCTGCATCACTGATTGACCACCCACCACTGCTCCACACTGCCATGAGTCAACAGCAGATGTGCGACCTCTGTAGTGTTTTACATCTGGTAAATGTGGCTGTGATGTAGTGAAGTGAACACGCTCTCACCACGTCTTCACGTATGATGACACTCTTAAGAGAACAAAAAACAAACGCTTTGTGCTTTTGGATTCCAAACGCATCGATAAAGAGGGCCGAGACGCCACCACCGAATCGCTCTACCTGTGGCAGGAGAAGACCTGCTCCGCTACTTGGATGGTGATGTCACACTGCTCTCCCCTCTGGTACAGATCCAGCAAGTCAGCTCCAAGGCCGGAGGCTGGCTCCAAAACAACAGCATCTGATCCAGAGGAAGGTCAGGAGGGAGAAAGTGATGAAGAGAAAAGCCTTAAGTGTACATTCATCTGAGGCAAAGAAAAAAGTAAACTAATTTCTCTTCAAATATAGTCAGATCTTCATCTACGTTAGGATTGTGAACAAACGCGTTCTATTATAACTAATAACACACAAATCATAATATTGTTCTCGTCCATATTGAACAAAGTAATCAAAGAGTTTTATACATTCATCAGTCCACAGTTAGACAGCTGTGGTAAATCTACCACAGAATGACTTCAAACAAACACAATCCACCTTCTGGAGTGGCCCAATCAGAGGCCAGACCTTAACGCAGTACAGATGCTGTGGAATGACCTGAAGACGGCCACTCATAGCAGACATCCCAAGAATTTGGCTGAACTGAAGCAGTTCTATAAGGAAGAACTGCACAAAATTCTTCCTGAACATTGTACAGATCTGATCAGAAGCGACAGAAAGAGTTTCGTTGAGGTTACTGCTGCCAAAGCAGGTTCGACCAGTTATTATGACCAACGGTTCGCTTCTTTTTCCACCAGTACTGTTAATGTTTAATGGGTGTGCTCAATGAAGAAAAGGAAGATTTTAATTGTTCAAGTGTTATCATCTTTTATTAATGCAATTAATGCAGAAAACCAGGTCATTCTAAAAGGGTTCACATACTTTTTCTTGCCACTGTATAAGTGTATTTGTGTGTGTGAAAAAGCAGAGGTGGCTATAACTACACTATGTAACTAAAAATGCTGTAAATACTGAAAAAAAGTTTGTTAAAGCAGAGTTAAATTTTGAATTATCCATAGCATGCTCATGCTACAATTAGCAGTAACAACAACCGGGATCCAAATCCGATTAGCTCTTAAGTGGATTATGGCTGAGATAACATAATGTGAGAAGGAGGGCAGCTGGGCAGCCATATAACCTAGAATAAACCCTCCATAGAAAAGCATGTCGATCTGTTTACCTGAGTCGGTGGAACTATGAAGATCCGCCGGGGCGGGGACAGACAGGGTTGGTTCTGGCAGGAAGCCCTCCACGTCTGGGATTATTTCCACGGATCGCATGCTGTGGTCTGCTGTGTACACTCGCCTGCAGGGGAGAGACTCTAAAGGTTAATTAAAACTAGGGCTTTCACACCTATTTAAATTACAATCTCATTTGATGCACTGTGACTTCAGTGACACAGTAGCCAGCCACAGCCTGAACTATGCAGGATTCTCTGTTTTTACAGTGAAGCATTTTATAAAGTGACTGTCAAGCTCATAACATTACTCTGCATCAGAGGCAGCCTGTTATCTGGTTAAACCCTAACTACCTCTGAAAGACGCTGCAGCACCGTGGCCCGTTCTGCCAGGATGCATTGTTGTTCACTTTCTATCCACCTATTTTTGAATTGTTGCCACGATCATTGTCAAAGTGGCAAAAGCCTGAGCAGAGACACCCAGACATCCTTTTTTCCCCCAGCAGTTCCCTCCAGAAACAAGAGATGCCAAATGCTGCCAGGCCAGCTGGGTGATGTAATCCATCCAGTGAGTCCTAGGTCTCCTGCCAGACAGTTGTGCTCAGAACAGCTCTGAGGGGAGCCAGCCTGGAGAGGGCGACCATATAACAACTAGAATGCGTCTGTAAAATCGTGTGCTGAAATTACATTTGGCAGCCTGGTGGACTAGGGTTCAAAAGATAGGTTCACATTTTTATGTCCACATGAACCTGCAAAAACACTTTCAATGCAAATATGAGCACTTGGCTACTGCTTTAAGCCGAGCTTGAAAAATCACAGCAGAATCAAAACAGTTCTGGACACTTCAAGTCAGGCCAGTGTGAAGTTTGGCACACTGCTAAAAAAAAGAAAGAAGTCAAGTTCATAATCCACAAATGAAGGAATAGAAAAACAGTCATTTTAGTATAGGTAGCAAACCTCAGGAAACATATTGGCAACTTTATCAAATTCTCCTCCCTGTGGTGTCACTCATGCTCTGTGGTGTCATTTTCTAACTTACTGTTGTAAGTGTAACAGACACTGTAACAAAAATAGGTTGACTGCTAGTCCTAATTATAAATTGTTAATGAGACACAGACACAAATCAGCGGATCAAAGAGTTGTGCAC